GTGGCATCCAAAAGAATCAGCTGAGTAACTGTTCTCGGGTTTGTTTAATAGGGTTTCAGAAATGTATTTAAGAGTTAATGAGTAATGCATATCACAGGCACCATATTATTTACTAACTAATTTGCTCTAAGCTTTTCTTATTTTAAAGATCTACCTTATATCTACCACCGTGACTAATTATGTACCACCATATTATTTACTAACTAATTTGCTCTAAGCTTTTCTTATTTTAAAGATCTACCTGGATTTCACTGCAGTGTTTAGAGACCTGTATGGCTCAACAGGTGGCCTCCTAGGGATGTAGGGACATTCAGCAAAACTGGCCAACCCCCACTTCATCTATTTGGCCTTGAGCTTGAGGACATTTTAAGATGCTTCTAGGCCAAGAGATTCATTTAGGGCTTGTTCACACCAATTACAGTGCGTTCTAGCGCAGTTAGCTCAGTGGGCATCTATTTTGATCAGTAGAACATAGTTTGAAGTTGTAGTGAGGCTATGCATTTCCCCAACACATATAATAGAGGACATATATTTGCTTAAGTAGCACGAGCTGAAAAGCAGGGCATTTCTGCTCTTTATTCTTTATTTACAGCATAATCACAAACATTACACTAGACAAACACTTTTCAAAATAGTAAGCAGCATATATTGACTGAATTTTAGCTTTTCTGCGTTTTTTCATCTCTCTGTGTCTCTCAACCTGCAACTGTTCAGCCAGGAAACTTTGCATGGATGTTTTCAACAAAAAAAGTAAGGATCAAGTACCTAGCTATTGTATACAATATAATGTATACCTGCCATCCTGATTAAGTAAATTATATCTGGTGCTCATTACTCTGACCTGAAAAGGCTCCTTTGGAAACCTGTGAGCTGTATGTGTGCCACATAAAATTATTGATGCTGTGAAACTGACTTTATTTACTCACTGCTCTGGAACTTGTGTGCAAGCTGTGGATCTGGGAATGGCATCTTATATTAAAGCTTCCCCACACTGGAGTTTTGCCATCAAAGCAGATAGACAAGTGGGCAAATGATCCTGAGCAGCAAACATACTGCATGAAAAAACAATTTGTGTTCCACCACCCTTAGTCAAAATATAGTTTATTTTTCCTTTTTTTTAACATAAAAATGCTCATAATAATGACACTTTTGTTTACAAATGAGGACATTTAATGCCTAATGTTGTCGATATTACAAGCATCTTCTGGTAATATATGTTCTCAAAATTAAACCATATTTATTTATTAAAATATATACCTGTATACAGTAATGTATATGCTGATTACATGTACTAGTGACAGGTTTGTGTTTTGATGACTTTGTATACCTACAAAAAGTGGTATTTTGTCTTTTATTAGTTTTGGTAAAGTTTAAAACTTTCTGTGGCAAGAGTTTGGTAGACATAAATATATAACTCATTAATTTTCCAATTCAATTTTAAGAACAGCAGGTGATACATAATTACTATGCCTTCATTGTTGCACAGTAACATCCCACCTGCACTTGCCACTGGACTACTTTATAGGCTTGTCTGCAGAAAATGGAGAATTTTACTATTTTGTATACCAGTCCATGTGACCATTAGATTTTGAAAAGAAATAGGAAATGCAAATAAAATAAATAATACATAATGTTTTACATCTGTGCCTGAGATTTACTTTTTCATTCTGGGTCTCTTCCAGCAAAATCATGTATTATTTTACAATTAAATATTTAGGATTTTCAAATGCAAGCCAAACTTACCCTCGGTAAATCTAGCTCTGATCTCCTGTGCTTGTTCATAATCCAGTGGACAAATATTCCTCTTTCATTAATCATTGTAAATGAGCAAAATGTTTTTACTAATAAAACATTCTCCAGAGAAAGTGACCTGGAAGCACCATAAATTATTTCATGCTATTTTTTATACTTTTTATACTCAGAGGGAATCAAATAATTGATTGTAAAGCCAGAATGCTCCATTATGATATGAAAGAATGTCTAGCTTTCTCTTTCCTATAAACATGAAAAACAGAGTGATTTGTTTCTGATGCTTAAAGCCATACTCCAGGAAAAGAAATTGTTATTTACACACCACACTGAGTGTGTAAATTATAATTAAAACGTTTTATGTTTTGTGTTGAGGGCTGCTGCAAAGTACAAAAATCTTAGTGTGGCATGTGAATTATCATTTTTTTCCCTGGAGTTTGGTTTTATCACAAGTGACCCTGAGAATCCAGCTGTACAGGCAATGCTCTATTTTCTGAAGTATATTCTATGCATTTTAAATCTAAACATTAATGTATTTTAATGTTCTAGTCTAATTTAGCTTGATTTTTACCAGAACAGATGACATAAGGCTGAAGAGCTTGGGTAGTCAGGGAGTCCCCATCGGAAGAATTAAATTACATTTTTAAAGTAGTACTCTAAAGGAACTTTAAAGGGATTAAAGTAGAACCCTGGCTTTAAAAATATTGATATATATGTACATTGGTCCAGCTGGGCACATAGTAATATATATATATATATAT